TCCACGCTCATTAAACTCCAAACTAAATTCTCAAATGCCTATTTTGATCCGGACAATTTACTTTACTGAGATTTTACTACTTATTATTGAGCAGTCCAATCTGGAGGTACTGCAATCGCTGGCTATTAAGCAAACTTCTTTTTGACCGCCTGCTAAACCTCTGTTCTGTAAAATGGGCTACTTCTGCAGATATCTCGTTGATTTCGTATGACCTTGTAAACTCAAATCTATTTTATAGAAATCAGTGTCGAAAAGGTTATTTCTTGTACTTACTTGTTAGAAAATTACGCCTTCTTTAATTTTTTAGTTTGAAAACTGGTGTTTCTAGGTTTTAAAAACGGTTCTAAATTTTCGAATAATTTAGAACCTATCTGATCGTTACACTGGATTTTCAAGAATTCCCAAATGGCTTGCTGCACACATTTTGTCTAAAGAATAGCACATAATTCTCTAAGCAAAGATTAAGTAGGTTACATAGTTTTAATTTATTTCTAATAGATTGGAAACATGTTGAATGTCTTATAGGCAACCTCCATAAATAGACGGGAATAGGGATATTATCATAAAACCGTTAAAATCGCATAATTTAAACAATTTGAAACCAAAAAATAACATCTCTTCCGGCGTGAAATTTGTAGAATGCTTAATTTTTCACTAGAAGAGAACAATAGAGAACATTTTTGGCGCATGTTTTCTATAAAAATAGATTTCGGCGTTGGAAGTTATTGGGAAAACTAATGCTACTTAAGTGTCAATGTTTACAGAGTAAGCTTCCCACAATTGGCCAGAAAGCAGTTTGCTCAAAAGCCAGTGTTCTGAAGTGGTGGAACTGTCTTAAGCTTAGACTGCATAACTGCTATTCCTACAACCCGTTATGCAATTTATTCGAATAGAAAACATACTTTAGAATTTCGGTTGATATTTTATTAGATAAGAATCTACTCTATGTTGGCTTGTTATATACAATAGAGCAGATTGATTACTTCAACTGGCGCAGGCAATCCATGTTTACTAGAACACCATGTCTTCAACAAAATACTGGTACCATCGGGATCCCATAGCGGCTTCTTCAATATAAACGTTTATTTGATCATCGACTAGATTTCTCTTTCGACGTTTCTCTTTTCTGTAGAGGTGGACTTACACGTTTCACCTTCTGGAAACGCATTCAAGTGATAATGCTTAAAACAAACTAGGTCCTCTAACTCGTTCTTGTCTTGATTAACGTTTGCGGCAACTGCAGTCAAACGCATGTTCTTAGACATCACTATTGTCTGTGTCTAGGCAATTTTAAGCTAGAATCTTGCCCAAACCTATCTCCTAAGTCCCTTTATTTCAATACGTCTATGCAGAAGCCGGATATGCCCCTAAACTTAGGCCTCTTGGGCGACCAATGTTTCCCATCATCCGGCCAATCCGCGCGCATCGTGCCTAAATGAGTTACCAATACAGGCAAAAATGCGAGTCCCCCTCATTCTTTACTGCTCTCCGATTATTTTTACAGCTTTAATCAAAAAAGACCAGGCCATTTTTAGGCGTATCCTCCGAATGCTCTCTTTATCTGCCGGTGTTTCCTGTGTTTTTAAGCTGCTGTTATAATACAGCGACACGTTAAAACGGTCAAGTAATGTGCTGATCGCATCCTTAGTTAGGTCACTCACCTTCTTCAATCTGAACTAATGGCTACGAAGTCTTCCCGTACTATGCGTCGCAGTGTCCGTCATATGTCTTGCCGTACAGCGGCAAATCAGCATTCTATACTCCCCTTCCTAGCATGCCACCTCACTTGTGAAGAAACGGAAATGGAGAAGTTGAAAGCCGATCTGTCTCCATAACAGATGTGAATATCGTGTAAACCTTTAACTTTGAGTATTCTATGACCTTTTACCTCACCTTACCACCTGCTCTTCGTGAATGGAGCCTTTTCTGCTGAAAATTTTGGATGCTTCCTTCAAACTAAAGCATATTTCTCTCTCAGAAATAATTGAGAGTAAGTTACTGTGCCACTGGAACAACAATTTTATTCGCCTGAAATTTCGGATTTTGACGCGGATCCACCATCAGAGGCAATAGCAGAAACGGATCTCTGCGTCTTTTCAATGCCGCCTTCATTGTGAACTGATCGATTTCTCACTGCCAGTTTTTACCCTTAGATTGGTAATCAGAACTGTAGCCTGTCCTAAGCGCCTCTCAGAACCAAGTGAGGCTTAAACTGCATAGCAAACATTTTAAAGTTTTGTAATTCAAATCTTGCCTGGCCTTTTCATCTTCTTTAGCTCTGCCAACTAAGAAATGTATCGAGTGTGTGAGACGGCTGATGGAACGGCAGACACTAGCTGATGTAGAACAAAGGAGTGCGACTGCATCCCTGCTTGAGGAAAAAATAATTCCTGAGGGAACAAGGCAAGCCTTCGGTCTCTTCAACGGATGCTGGATTAATACATATGCGGCGGTTCGAGATCGACTATATCTCTCCACCCTCTCAAACAATGATGATGCCGATCAGGGAGAGTTCTATCTCTTCTATAAGAGGGTAAGTTCTTCGGTGTCGCGATTTAACTCTACCATGTTTATTATGCTCAACTGTGATTAATACTTTTTAATTATTTAAATTTCAGCCAAGCTTTTCTGAATCATAAGCGGCCTAGTTATAAGTACCCATGCAATGCTCCCTTTAATAGCATTAATATTGAAAACAGTTTGAGGGATGTTTGCTTTTTTGGTTGACATTTCGTACTAACATCAAAGTGCTTCAGCAGCGGGGAAAAACTCTGAGTCACTCATTTTAGTTTCTAGTGGGCTGCTTTTTGCCGCTTTAGCGATGACAGATACGTTAGCCCTCTAGCCATATGCAGTCAACAGTTTCGCCTATAAGCAAAAATAATATCGTACCCAAAGTCACTTACTCGTGGCATCACGTGGGAAAGTTTCAAAGACCGGGATCTATTCTTTTCTCAGGAGACCATTTTCACGACCACCACACTCAAAAATAAAAGTAGTTGGCTCAATTCACCAGAAACTCGAGCTGATTGGCTTCGCAGTTGCCTATGAAAGTGCAATCTGGAGATGGAAAGTCAGCGTAAACCTGAAACTTTACTCTAATTAGAGGAAAGTAACATAAAAACGGTCATAGTCGCGAATAAGAGAAGGAAACGCGACTGATGGGGCAGGAGGTAAACTCTCCTGATGCTTTGGATTCGTAACTGCACGCATCGTCAGGCAGGATATACGCAGTTATGAAGTTTAATAAGACATTGGATAAAGCAGTTGAAACGTCAACTTACGACAATTCGACCATCCACCTCGACTATGTCCATCCGCAGGATGATGTAGGAACGGGCACTTGTTTGCAGATTAGTCTAAAGTGAACGTAGACTTCCGGAGGCTTCTATCGCGTTCTCTTGCTTGCCTCGCCCACTTGGAACAGATGTTAAGATACAGTCAAGAAGACAGGAAGCGGGATTTTATGCGCGTCCGAAGCCACCGCGCCTCTCCCCCATGTTCAGCATTTGTTGTCGCTACGCAACCCGAATAACGTTTGTCGTACCCTGAGACGCCCCCCCCTTGTTGGTCCATCGCATCTGCCGCGCAGCCCGTTTAGGGGCAAGAAACTTCAACAACGCATAATGTGACGACCAATTCGATCGCATTCCTCCAACAGGAATCTTACTCGGATTTCGTAGATTAATTACCCCCAAAAGGCTGCACTCTCGATGTTGCCGGGTAGTTTTATTTGACACTGAGTTGCTTCGCTCATTGTTTTACACAAGACACGGCGCGACTTCTCTAGATTCGTAGCTAACGCATCACTGGAAGGCTGGTGTAAATGGATTTTAACTTTGCTAGCATACGAGAACCCAAAATAATTCTTCAGATGTTGCCAGGTGTACATTGAAAATGAAGCTGTTGGGAAAAAATGATGACGTGGGACTTTTTATCCGGGTTTCGCGAAAAATTCAGTTTGTTAAGTATGTCCAGAGGCGAATCCTATGAGTCGAGAATATGCCAAGGTATCCACCTCTCGCATTTGCGTGCTTTATCCAAGTTTTTCAAGCCAAGCTAGGTCGTCCATGTTAGGAGCCCAGTCTAAGCGAATGCCAGGATAACCTTGCAGGCTGTCGTGAGTCGTCATACCCGTGGCCGACTGCCAACAATGATTCCTTTGTCAATGCAGACTGTCTCAAGGTCATATGCCTGCGCTGGTGACCGCCTTCGGCCGACTGCCAACAGTGGTTCATTGTTTAATGGGAGCGGCCTCAAGGTCATGTGTCTTTGCTAGTGAACTGTCCCCATGAGATGACCTTAAACTGCTCGCAAATGCACACGTGTGCACAAGCACGCGGGCACAGGTGAACGCGTCAGCCTGCGACCACCCAGTACTTGAACTCGCTTCACAATCCCTTATAAGCGACTGTCACATGTCACACAGGGAGTTGCACACAGACTAACAGAGACTTGCAGACACTGTCAGGTGTGATTGGGCGCAGTCATCCTCAGGCCCGGGCTTCGCCTAGAGGCCACTGCTACCCGAGACAGCAACTTCGGGTTTTAGAGACGATAGAACTTTCGTCCGAGTGGCTTCCAGTTTTACGCCCTTCTTGTTGTGTTCTGCTTTGAGGATTCAAAAAGGGTGTAATTAGATGATGAGACTACAGTTGTCACATTTGCAGCAGTCCAAACAATTCGGAATATTCAGACTCCATCCTGCTTATGAGCTGAACGTATGGATCTGGAGAAAGGTATAGAAATGTGCCTACAATTCTGGGGACTGCTTATTCTGTAGCGCAGTCCTTCAAATAGTTTTCTAACCGTACAGCGACTTGGGGGCGGCTTTTCTGCTAACCTCCACCTACTAAAGCGTGGTAAT